ACACAGCTAGTAAGTGTCAAGTGTCTGAGGCCAGATTTAGACTCAGGTCCTCCTGATTCCAGGACACTGTACCACCTAGCTGCCCCTAGCTTGAACACTTTTAATGACAGAAAACAAACCACATTTGAAGGCAGCCTATTCTGTTTTCTGGTTACTGTATTAGTTGGAAAAATCTCTTTATCCAGCTTATATCTACCTTTCTTTAATACATATTTATCACATTGATATAGTACTTTATGGTTCACAAGTTACTTTCCTTACAGTAACCTTGTGATAAAGTATGATTACCTCCATTTTACAAAGAAACTGCAGCTCAGAGAAAGTCAGTGACTTGCCCAAGGTGAGAGAGTTAGTATATGTCAGAGAACATACTTGAACCCAGGTCTTCTGAATATGCCAGGACCACCAGCTCAAGTTTCCCTCTCTGGGGCGACAAAGAATAAGTCTGTTTCCTCTTTGACAAAACTGGCCTTCACCTCATGCTAGAGTAGCAAAAAGAACACTAGATTGAGAATTAAGAAACCTGGCTTCACAGTGTGAGCTCTGACATTAACTAGCTGTATGACCTAGTATAAATCAAATAACCTCCCTCAGGTTTAGTTCCCTTATTTGCCAAATGGGGCTTCGATGGGTCATCTCTGAAGTCTTTATCTGCTTTAACATTTCCCTTTCTGAATATTCAAAGATTCCTCCCATGCTCTCCCTAAACCTTTTTGTTCCAGCCTAAACATTTCCAATTTCTTTTACTATGCTTTACATGATACCATTTCCTGATCCTTAACCCCGTTTATCTGGCTGCTCCATTTACAATGTGATGCCCAGAGCTGGACATACTACTCCTGATGTTGCTTTTCCTGCAGAGTATCTTGGGGAACATTAGATTCATGGAATTTTAGAGCTATAAAAAGTTGTAATCAAGCTCAACCCATTCATTTTTCAAGAAAGAAAATTGACCCCAGAGAAATCAAGTTATTTGCTCAAGATTACAGTGAGTTCATTGGTAAAGCCAAGTCCCTTAATGTGGATACTATATTTCCATTAATGCAACCTGACTGAACTTTTTTAGCCACTATGTTAAACTAGGGCTGAAAAGTTCATGGTCAACTAAAATCTATTTATTTTTGTGTTGAGGTTTTTAAAAAACAGGAACAGCTGCTGATTGCATTATTACAACTTGTGATTCAGTGCTTTTAAAATGGTTTTTTCCCCATCACCCTTTCTATAGTCACTTCATAGAGGTTCATTATTTAACAAGAAATGTTTAATATTTATAATAATAACTTAAGATGATATATGTATTATTTTAGACTACATATTTCACAATAATATTAAGATACTGTTTTAGTCTGAAATCCTTATTCTAATCTGAATGAGAACTTTATTAGTATTTCTTTAACTGGGAGTTAAGAAACAAAGTCTTGGAATGAAATACTTTTACATTATTTTTATTGAAGGCCTAAGCGATTTCTAAAGGGTCTCATTAGTAGCCCAGTCTGGTTCAAAGCCTCTCCATAAAACTGAGCAGACTAAAGAGCAAAACCCCTTTGATTAGTTTGATTAGGAGCATTTTGAGTTTATTTTAAAAATTATTTATTTAGTATTTTATTTTCCTCAATTACATGTAAAAATGTTTAACATTCATTTTTAAAATTTTGAGCTCCAAATTCTCTCCCTCCCTCCCAACCCCCCTTCATTGAGAAGGCAAGCAATTTGATGTAGATTTTACATATGTAGTCATGGAAAACATATTTACACATTAATCATGTTGTAAAAGAAAGTATTGACTAAAAAAACCCCAAGAAAAATAAAGGTAAAAAAGTATGCTTCCATCTGTATTCAGATTCTATCAGTTCTTTTTCTGGGAACGGTTAGCATTTTTCATCATAAATTCTTCAGAGTTGCCTTGGATCATTGTATTGCTGAGAATATTTAAGTCATTCACAGCTGATCATCTAATATAACTGTTACAGTATACAATGTTCTGGTTCTGCTCACTTTATTTTGCATCAGCTCATGCAAGTCTTTCCAGGTTTTTCTGAAATCATCCTGCTCATCATTTCATATAGCACAATAGTATTCCATCATAATCATATACCATAACTTGTTCAGCTATTCCCCAGTTGATGGGCATCCCTTCAATTTCTAATTCTTTGCCACCAGAAAAGAGCTGCTACAAATATTTTTGGACATATAGGTCCTTTTCCTTTTTGTGTTGTTTTAATCTTTTTTTTGGGATACAGACCTAATTGCTGGATCAAAGAGTGGGCATAGTTTTATAGCACTTTGGGTATAGTTCCAAATTGCTCTACATAATAGTTGAATCAGTTCACAACTGCACCAACAGTGCATTAGTGTCTCAATTTTTCCACATCCCTTCCAACATGTCATTTTCCTTTTCTGTCATTAGTCAGTCTGGTAGGTATGAGGTAGTACCTCAGAATTGTTTTAATCACTAATGATTTAGAGTATTTTTTCATATGGTTATAGATAGCTTTGATTATTTCATCTGAAAACTGACTGTTCACATCTTTTCACCATTTATCATTGGGAAATGGTTGAGTTTATTTTTAACCAGAAAAAAGGAGAATCCTCAGAGGGAGTGGTTAAAGGGAGGGGACTGAAGAGTTTCAGGAAAATAATTTTCCAGGGTTTAATGATGGAAATTGATGCCTAAACTTTGCCCTCCTGTTTAATCTTGACTATCAAATTTTGTTTTTTGTTTTGAAAATACTACAAATTGTAAATGGAAACAGTCCCTTTGGATCTCTCTAAGCAGAGATGCTTGGAATCAAACAATTAATATATTTGTCTCTGGCACATTTGTGCTAAAAACACGGAGTGTGGAATTTTTCTTCCACATTTTTCATAGTATTTTCACATACTGTAAGAAAAGGAATTTGTTTTGTGACTTCTAGGGGTGACTTGTGGGTTGGATTGCATTTTTCTAATTATTGAGGTGACAGAAACACTGCTGTGTCTACCTGTTTGTATCATCATTTCTTTGGTCAGGGGATGGGGCTGGTTGGGGAAGAAGGTTTGGATCACAGGATTTAGAAATGGAAGAGAAGCTTTAGGAATGGTTTTAATTCAACTCCCTCATTTTACAGGTTAGGAAATTTGAGGCCTAGAGAGAAAAGGGGACTTTATCAAGGACGAGGACCCATCTTCTGACTCTATATCCTGTACTTTTTTCTACTACATTCTCTTGTTTCCTAGATTGCCAGTGATGAGTTGAAATCCATACATAAGACCGAAAAGCAGGGTTCCTGTTTGGCTAAGAGTAACAGAGGAGTCTTCCTGACTCCAGGACCCCCCACTTTGCTACCTGGCTGCCCACATTTCATTTAGGTAATGAATAAATCATCTGACTCTTCTGACCCTCAGTTTCCTCAACTGTAAAACAAGGATAACATGGGCACTATTTCTCATAAACCAGTTCTAGATAACTGTGAACTACTAATTGTTTCAGTGGCAAGAGACTACCCTGTAGAAGAAAGTGTACAGTAGTATTTGCAATCAGAAAACCTGCATTTGAATCCCAGCTCTGCCACTTGCTTAGTACTTGTATGACCATGGGCAAGTCATTGATGCTTCTGGGCCTACCTCTTTTCTTGTAAAATCGTAGCTGAACTGGATAATCTCTACTAAGATCCCTTCCAGCTCTGAATCCTATGATCCTATAAGGAAGTTTCCAAGGTACTCAAAGCAAACCTGGTAAGAACTCGACTACCTTTCTCATTGTCTTCTACATGCTCTTCTATTGGTTATTTCAACAGCATTCTGTTTGGTGTTTCAGTACCTATAGGATGGGAAAACGTCAGCTGTAAAGAAAACAAAAATATGGGGCAGCTAGTTAGCATAGTGGACAGAGCTCCAGGCTTTGAGTCAGGAGGACCTGCGTTCAAATCCGGCCTCTGACATTTGACCCTTACTAGTTGTGTGACCCTGGGCAAGTCACTTAACCTCGACTGCCTCACCAAAAAAAAAAAGAATACAAACCAAAAAACCTCCCAAAAAGACAGAAATCTACACTACACACAGCTCCCAAAGGAAAAGCTTTAAATGAAGATATAATGCCTGAAGAAGAAAGCTGTCTCTCTTTGGGCCTGCAACTACCTTAAAGAAAAGACTACTTTTTATCCTAGGAGAGTTGGTGGGAGAGAAGTGATGCACATGGGCACACAGACTCGGGGGCAGGGGAGGGAGGGGAGGGTGCGGAAGAAGCATGAAAATGATTGGTCAGAAGCCCCGCCCAGGGAAAGTTTAGCTGCAGGCATTTTATCAGTCTATTATGCAGATCACCACCTCGGCAAACTTCTAACTGTGAGCTCAGCTGTAGACCTAAAACACATACTCCACCACCTGGTGTATTCGGAGGCCCGGGCTCAGAGAAGGGTGGGGTTTGTATTTACACAACACGACTTCCACACGACTGCTGGGTGTGGAAAAGTTAAATCTGGCTCTCGGAGATCTGGCTGGTGACCCCACCCCACTGCAGGCCCGCCCAGGTCTGCCTGAGCTAAGAGGCTGGGGGCCCCCAAGAGGGCTCCCCTTCCACGCCAGAAGAGATGAAAGGCTAGCCGGCTGAGCAGTTGTCAAGCCCCTCACCCCCCCGCCCCCGGCAGGCGCGGGGCGGAGTTCCAAGAGAGGATGGGCGGAGAGAGAGGGCCAGAGGGGAGGGACGGCCGCGGCTAAGCTCGCCTCCCTCTCCCAAGTTTCGCTATGTTGTTCCACTGCCTCCGTCGTCCCGCTCCGCTAAGTGAGGATAACCCGGCGGAGGGGAGCCCAAAGAAATGGCAGGAGGGACAGCGCAGCCATCGAGGAGGTGAGAGAGAGGGGGAGACGGCGAAGAAAAGGGAGAAGCGGCAGGGAGGACCAGGGGACAGGAGCGCCCTCGTCATCCTGCCTCTCCATCACCCCCGTCCCTCCCTGCCTCTTCCTGGTTCTCCGGCAGCAACCAGGAGCCCCCTGTTGGGGGTTGGGGGGCGAAGGGAGGGGAAGCTCGAGATATCCTGAGGAGCGCTGGGGACAGGAACCGCGGGCAGGGGTGGGGCGGGGAGGGGCGGGAAGCCCAGACATGAAGAACCGGCGGCGGCGGCGGCGGCAGCATCGAAAACTCCTGTTCTTGCTCGTTCTGTACACTCTGGTCCTGCTGCTGCTGCCCTATGTCCTGGACAGCCGCAAGGGCGGCGAGGAGGCGGGCGTCCGGCGTTGCCCCAGCCTTCCGAGCAGCCTGGGAGTGTGGAGCCTGGAGGCAGCGGCCGCCGGGGAGGAGGAGGAGGAGGAGGAGACGAAAACTTTGATCCGGGCCGGAGGGGGAGCCCCGGAGAGCCTCCAGAACCGGAGCGACTCTGCCCGACGGTCGCCGCCGCTGCCGCGCGAGAAGCAGCACGTCTACCTGCACGCCACTTGGCGGACCGGCTCGTCCTTCCTCGGGGAGCTCTTCAATCAACACCCCGACGTGTTCTACCTGTACGAGCCCATGTGGCACCTGTGGCAGGCGCTCTACCCGGGCGACGCGGAGAGCCTGCAGGGCGCCCTCAGAGACATGCTCCGCTCGCTCTTCCGCTGCGACTTCTCCGTGCTGCGGCTGTACTCCCCGCCGGCAGACCCCGCCGCACCGGCCCAGGGCTCCGTCAACCTCACCACGGCCGCCCTCTTCGGCTGGAAGACCAACAAGGTGATCTGCTCGGCGCCCCTGTGCCCGGCCGCCCCCAGGTCCCGGGCCGAGGTGGGGCTCATCGACGGGGCCGCCTGCGAGCGCAGCTGCCCGCCCGTGTCGCTGCGGGAGCTGGAGGCTGAGTGTCGGAAGTACCCGGTGGTGGTGATCAAAGACGTTCGCCTGCTGGACCTGGGCGTGCTGGTGCCGCTGCTGCGGGACCCCGGCCTCAACCTCAAGGTCATCCAGCTGTTTCGTGACCCTAGGGCAGTGCACAACTCCCGCCTCAAGTCCCGGCAGGCACTAGTGCGCGAGAGCATCCAGGTGCTGCGCACCCGCCAGAAGGCTGACCGCTTCCAACGCCTGCTGTTCGCCCAGGGCGTCGGGGGCCGGCCGGGGGCATCCCTGTTCCGGCCGCAGCCTCCGGGTCCCCGCGCAGACTTCTTCCTCAGCGGGGCGCTGGAGGTGATCTGCGAGGCGTGGCTGCGGGACTTGCTCTTTGCCGGGAGCTCTCCAGCCTGGCTGCGCCGGAGGTACACCCGGCTGCGCTACGAGGACCTCGTGCTGGAGCCCCGCACCCAGCTGGCGCGCCTGCTGCGCTTTGCGGGTCTGCCCACCCTGCCCGCCCTCGAGGACTTTGCCCTCAATATGACTCGCGGCTCGGGCTATAACGCCGACCGACCCTTCCTCATTTCGGCCCGGGACGCCCGGGAGGCGGTGCACGCGTGGAGGGAGCGGCTGAGTGAGGAGCAGGTGCGCCAAGTGGAGGCTTCCTGTGGCCAGGCTATGCGCCTGCTAGCCTACCCGCTCAGTGGAGAGGAAGGCGAGAAGGTCCGGGAAGCGAAGCCTGCGGGGGAGAAGCAGCAGAAAGAAGCGGAAGGCACTACAAAACAGCGCCCCAGGTAAAGTGCATAAAAAACCCCCTAAAATATTCCCTTACAGGGATGAAGTAGCAAAAGGGACTTGAGATGAAGAGGAGGGAAGGTGTAGAGACTGGTGATGTTCCTAAATGTCCCCTCCTGGAAAACTAGGTCAGGGCATTGCCTCACTTTGGAGGCGCCCCCCCCTTTAATAAATCCTGTTACTTTATTTTTCAGTAAACAATCTTTCCCCCTTTCCCCCTCCAGCTCCTCCTCCATCTCACTGGAAAGAAGAAAATTTGTAACAAATTATGCACAATCAGGCAAAACAAATTACCACATTGTCATATTCTGCATCTTAAATCCATCACTCCCTGTCAAGAGATGGGTGCCCTTTCCAATGATTTTTTATGTTCTGAAAACCTCACAGTTTTCCCATGAGCCTCGGTTTCCTCATCTGTAAAATGGAGGAATTGGAGTAATTCAGATCATCTTCCTTTTCAGTCTAAACCCTGTAATCTTCTTTGCCTTGGCATTCCACCTCCCACTGTGGGAGCTTTAAACCACCGGAGAAGTAGACGTTTGAGAATATTGTCAAAGTTTGTAAAAGAAAATTCTTGTTAAGGGAGCCTTTTTTTTTTTCATTCTTTCTGTTTGTAAAGCTTAGATGCCGGGTGGATCCAGGTGCTAACTAGACCTCATTTCGCAGAATGTGTTGGCAAAGAGTTTTGACTAAGGAGTCAGTTTCTTGTTCGGAAGGCTGATTTCAGACATTTCCCCTAATTGACAATTCAGTTAGCGGGCCAGAGAATGCTTTCCTCACGTGTTGTAGAGTAGTGCAGAATACAGTATTGAAGTCTGAGGATAAGGATGAGGAAAACTAGTGGAGGGTGGAAGGAAATGACTTGTATTTCCATTCATTATTTTATATTGTAATGGAGCATACCCCTGGGGACACCAGGGCAAGCAGGATTGAGCCTTGACAATGGTCAGCCAAAAGAGTGTGGGCCCAGGATCTGTTACTGGCAGCTGTTGTGATTTTAAAAGCCCCAAGCACTGATATTTTTCTAAATTCATCAGATGGTTTCCTCAGTTTCTTTAGGGACAGGGAAATCCGCATTCTTTCCCAACTTCCTGGTTGAAGAGAGGTTGCAAATTTTTTTTAAACATCTCAACAACATCCTTTCACCAGCTAATCTTTTGCATAGAAAATCAACATGCCTTTCTAACCATTTTGGTTATTTTGGTAGGCTTTTCTTCCCTTGCACCATCCCCTCCCCACCAAGTTTTATTTAAAAGTCAGTGAATATTCTCACATTTTTACTTTAATGTCTGCATTTGTGGAGTCAGAATTCTGAATTCAAAATCCCATCTTTTCATAGGATATGCTTTTGAAACCTTGAGAAAGTCGCTTAACCACAGTGGGCCTTAGTTTCCTCAAATATAACATGAACAGGTTGCACTAAATAGCCTCTAAGGTACTTTCTAGTTCTAAATTTAGGATTCTGTGATGTCAGGGAGAGGCATTGGTGAGACATGCTCTCAGAGTCAGTCAGCTCGAATTAATTAAGCTCCTATTTTTTGTCCCTCAGGCACTGGGCTGAATGCAAAGAAAGAAAGGCAAAATAGAAATGAAAAAATATAAAAGGCAAAAATTAGTCCCTAATCTCATGGAGCTCAAAGTCTAATGGGGGAGACAACATGTAAATATTATTACAAACAAATATGTGTGACATATTTGGAGGTTATCTCAGAGGGAAGGCACTAGCCATAAGGGTAATCAGGAAAGGCTTCTTGTCAAGGGTGGGACTTCAGCTGAGACTTGAAGGAAGCCAGGGAAGCTAGGAAGTGGAGATGAGGAAGGGAGAGTGACCCATGCTAGGGGGTGGGACCGCTATTGAAAATACTTCAAGTTGGGCTGATAGACAATTTTAGAAAGCTGTAAAGTTCTTTTGTGGGAATATGATTTCACAGCTGTGGTGATCATTCTCATTTACTCACTAAGGAATTAGGGCTCACCCTCTATACACAGCTTTGATGACAGTAGTTCATTTTATTTGGGGCTTTACAGTTCACAGAGTGACTTCCTCACAACAACCCTAAGTAACAGCCTATCTTTCCCTGACTTGTGTAGGCACAGGAATCTTAAAGTAAATGACCTTTAAATACAAATTTATAATTAAACAACTTAAGTCATAACCTTTCAGTGCTCTAGGCCTCTAAGGTTGTGAATTGCAGAAAAGGTGCCTACCTGCATTTCTTCTCTGAGAGATCTCTTTATGAATGAAATCACAGATTCAGTCTCAGTCCTATTTATCTATACCTGTAAATACAATTCAGGATTGTAGGATTGAAAAAGAAAGGAAACTACAAACCTACAACTTTGGTTCTGCTGTGTGATGGATAGTTACATCTTTTTGTCCAATCTGTATATACAAGATTACCAGGTGAAAAGGATGTTATGTGATAACCAGTTCTGTTCCTTCATTGGTGGCCTGACAGCCAACTGACTGAGGAAACTGTTGGAGTTGGAGGAAGATCACTTCAGTTTCTCAGACTACTGTCCCAAGTACAGATCCTCACCCATGTTTGCTTTTTTTTTTTTTAAATGAGCCATTTTAAAGGATAAGCCTTGCCTTTTCTTCGGTGCCTCTCCTTCAGAACCTCCCCCTGGGCCCTTCTGGTAGGGTTGGGGCTTTTTATTCTTCATCTATGATTTCATTGTAGTATGGAAATACACCACAAATACAGGTCAGCAACTGTGCTGTAGCTTATTATAGCCTTAGAGTGTACCTCAAACATTAAAAAGTTAAGAGACTTTCCTGGGGTCACACAGCTGGTTTTTAGAGCACAGGCTCTGGAGTCTGAATGCCTAGGTTAAAAATCCAACCTCTGATGTTTGTTATCTGTGTGACCTTGAAGAAATCACTTAAGCCTTCCTGGGTCTCAGTTTCCCCTGGAAAATGAGGAGGTCGGACAAGGGGGGCCTCTGAGGCCCCTTCCAGCTGTGCCATGCTGTTGAAGCCATGGAGTGGTGAAGTTATCAAGGGGAAGAATGAAGAGAGAGAAAGAGAAGAGAATTAAGGACAGAAACCATGGTTTAAGGCAGGGGGAGGAGGAGGAACCAGTAAAGGGGAGGGGGAAGAGAGAACTAGGAAGAGAACCATGAGCGTACAGTGTCAGCAAATCCAAGGAAAATAGAAAAGATTAAGGAGTCAACCTCAGTAAGTACCCCTGAGAAGTCAAGGAGGCTAGAAAAAGGCAATCGAACAGGCGACGGAGAGAGCCCAGAAGGAGATATAACTAATCTGTATGATCTTGGGCAAAGCAGTAGGAGGAGTCAGGAACCCCAGTGGTATACTAAATGCTCTCTATCACTAGCCACTGGCCTTTCACTACACCCATGGACATCCACAGACATAGACACATCTCTTCCCCTGAGAAATCTGTATCAGCAGCCCAGTAAATATCAGAGATGTCTGCCTCAAGCTGACTGGGGTACTATTTTTAATTGCTATTTTAAAAGCTATCCCAAGAGACCTTTTTTTATCCTTTTAGTAGTAGGAAGGTAAATCCTTGTCAGAAGGTGGTAGATCATTTAAAAAATGATCTTTGCCCCACCAGAATAATCATATCCAAAGATTTATTGCACCCCTCACAGTAGGGAGGTTTGTTTTGTTAGTCCTGTGATACTTCCATTACTCACTGTATTTTTGGAAATTTTCTGTGGGACTTGCCCTCAGTGCCTGTTGCTAGCACATTACTTTGAGTGTTCTTAGTAGTAACAATTTTTTTTTTGCCTTTCAAGGCTTAGTCTGATTGTTTTTTCAAAGGAACCCAAAGTCATTTAGAACCAAGTTGGATTAAAAGCTGGGTAATAATAATTTTGATTTGAAAAAAAAAAAAGGGGTGGCGTGAGTAAGCCTCTTTTTCTTGTGTATGAGGCCCATGAATTGCCTCAAGGGACAGTTTGCATGAAATACAGATATTCAGAAATACCTAGAGAAGTCACAGCATCCCTGGAACACAGCTGTTCAGCCTTCCAGGACAAGGCATTTGAAAAACCTACCCTCATTTGAAAACATAAGTTTGGGTAAGCTTATTAAAACCCACCCTCATTCCCATATAGTTGTGCCACTTGTGGACATTATAAATTATTGTAAATATACAGTTGGATTTTAGGCACTTACTATATTCATGTAATAGGTGACCTTGCCTGAACAGAACTAATGCTTTGTTATTCTTTCCATTGACAAAATATTTTTGATTTTGAAAAAAGTCCAATTCCAGTATGAGGTTTGTTTTTTTTTTTAAATGTCTTTCATCAAGGCAAAAGTAGAGGCAAAGGCATCATTGTAACACTTGGGTATTTTCAATAATCAGGAAACTGGGATAGTGTGACAAGCTATGAGGTAGAATTCTTGTCATAGTAATGGCTGAGATTAACTTTCTAAATCACCGAATCAGCAATTGTGGCTTCTCTCTTAACTTGGTTAGGGAGTGAGGAGGTCTGTTACCCTTGCAGTGAATGTGTTGGAGGAAGAAGATGTAGGTGGCCTGGCTTTTTCTCTGCTCCCTGGCTTTCTGTTACACAACTGTCCTTGTGAGCGGGGCCATCTCCAGTGGCCTGATCCGTGTCTCGCCATTGGACCCAGATGGCTCTGTAGGAGAGAGTGAGGTTGGTGACTTTGCACAGCCCTCCCTCACTTCACTCCAGTTCACTTGCAAGTCATGACATCACCTTCCTGACGTCACGGTCCGCTTTGAGAACGGTGGACAAACAACTACAGGCCTTGTGAGGTCTGCAGGCTCTTGGCTTCTTCCCTTCTGTGGGAAGGAGCTGCTGATCATGTGAGTAAGAAGAGCCGGGGTGGAATTAAACAACTTCTGCCCCAGTGTTTGGACAGTGAATTGTTATTTGGAAGGAACACAGAAGCAGGAGGACTTTTCAGGAGCTAAACAGGAAGCACCTAATTGGCTAAAAATTGCTAAGCTCGGCAATCTTGCATGAGAAAGGGTGTTCTTAATACCTTTTCCCTTCT